GTTAGCATACTAACACATCCAGTGAGTGCTGAATTTTCCTAAGTGAGGTTGAGAAGAGGCAAAATTAAAGGAAAAGCTTAAAATGTTGTAAACAGCCTTAAAATCTACTTCCAACAAATAAAGTAGAATTAAGGAGCCTTAATTGCAGAAATGTTATGAAGTAAACAAACTAACAAACCTGCACAGCTTATCATCATAAACAGTCATGAAGTGCTGGGGAGTGCGGGTCAGGAGCAGAGAGGATATTTTTTTCTGTGTTACACAATTACTTGCTTGAGTGCCCCGGGCACATGAAAGCTTTATCCAGGTGTGCTTCGCATCAGGGACATGACTTTTAGCTGTAGATTCTATGATTTAGCAGAGTTATGTCCCTTGGAAAAGAAAATATACCTGTTTCCTACAGGACAAAGCAAGGCAAAGGTAATGTTTTTTGCATTAGAAGTGATTCTGTTTGGTTTTCAGTATTTGATCACTGGGGCGAGAGGGAGTGGGAAGCATGAAAGTACACAGTCAGTAGAGTCTGTGCAGAGGAAATAGTACAGATTACAGAAACAGCAGACTCCCACCAACTACGAATTTTGGAAGGTTTTGGCAGCTTCTGCTTTTCCCCTCATGCTTGAGAACATTTCAAAGGCAAGATTACAAAGGAAGACATCACATGTTCAGTTCGAAACTGTAACTGGGGCTCCGGGGAGCGGAGAGGGGGCAGGTACAGAGGCAGTGCTTGCTGTTTTTCAGGATTCACTTCAAAGCACTTACCTTTATACCTCTGTGTGTAGGTAAGGATCACAGCCCAGCAGATGATCCACCGCCTCTCCATTTAGACAATAAGGAGGAGGATTAGCTAACCTGAGACTGCGTTACCAACCTGTGCCCCTGACCTAAATACCACAGTTAAGCAACAGTGTTTTGTGAATGTAGGACTTGAGGCAGGAACTGGACTGATACAAACCTAGCACGTGACAGCCTTTGCTCTAATCAAGTGCTTTATAAACATGCAGCTCCAGTCTTGCACCTATGAATTATGAATTTCTCAATATATCCAAGGGGTAAGGTTGTCACACACCAGAAACCTGAGGTCACAGAAAAGACCAAAGTAGTATCACCTCCTTAAAGCAAAGTGACTAAAGACTTGCATTAAACCTCCTACTCTTTCGCTTTTCCTCTGGGAGGATTTTCTTGGTTAGAAACCCCTACTACATACTGATCAAGATGTTCACCTTGTTCTTACCCAGTGGCATGCCTAGAGTGTAGACAAGAAAATACTGGAAAAAACCCCATAACCAACCTCCAAAGTAAACCAGAGTCGGCAACAACAAAATGCTCAAATCCCTGCCTTTACAATTGTTTGAGAATTTAAATAATTGCATTGGCAACTACTTTCCACCATTTAAAACTTCATCTCTCCCAGGAAACTAGAGAAGGGAAGAGAAGAAAACTACCACTATTTGGATATTCCTTTTGCCGAGTCTATCATCTTTGTTAATAGCCTCTAATGAATAACTCACTCAAGGATAAACAGGCTGGCACTATTATTTTGTCAGCAGAATCAGCATGATTCAGAGGAGAGTAGTCACATGACTGTCACAGTTTCTAAGTTGTCAAAACCTGTGGGAAAACAAAAATTAGTAGCTGAGAGAGAAGCTTAATTCTCACTACCGCAAACAACTCAGCAGCCTGTGCCTAATTCAAAATACATACACACAAACTTAAAAGGGAAATATTACTATCCAACAGAAACTACTCTAGAGCAGACAGGTTTCTCTTGCCTGAGAGGTCTTAGAATGATAGAGAAAATCACTATAAACTATTTATTACACCAACTTGGCTGAAGTAACAGTTCTTTGACACACAGCCCCTCTTCTCAGAAGAGTCTTAAATCATGCTGACTTTACAAGTGCCAAGGCGGACACAAGAGTGCATCTAGGCATGACAGCTCATGCTTCCTACACCAGACTTCCCTTTTGCATCCTAGTCTTTTCAAATGGGTGATAACAGTCATCAAAAGTTAAATGTCTGCACACATAGATCACTGCCCTGGCCAGAGGACTGGAACCATTCCTATAGAAACCACTGACATCTGGTTTCCAGAATTTGGAACTGGTTTTTTGATCTCTTGGGGTCAAGACAAGTTGATTATAGGCATAAATGTTACTACCTTATCAAAGGCCCCTTTGTGTAAGTTTGTGTGACAGGGTTCTACAGCTCTGGAGGGAGGAATGTTTACCAGCAAGCAGCAGGCTGAGGAGATTATTACATGCTGAGAAGCAGCATGTGAAAGTCTCCCAGGACTGGTAAGCTCTGGAGACCAGTTGTTCTGTTAAATCCACCAGAACTGATAAATTCAGAACACCAGAAGCCTACTGGCTGTGTACACAATCAATACCCACATCAGTATCAACCATGGGATGCATTAACTTGGATCATGTACAAGCAGGTAGTGCCTGTTACGTGCTAAAAAAAAAAACCCTACAGGATTACATATACACACCTAACGAAGCAAAGTGCGCTTCAAAGGACTTTCTAAACTACCTACCTTGGAGTCAGAGGTCCCAGAGGTGGGGCCTGGCCTCCCAGTTGTTACTCCTACAGAGTAATTATGAGTGTTTAAGTGAATGTGTTGTGCGAATAGTTATCTGCTATTAGTAACAGCTCTAGTAACAAAACACCTTCTGTTTGCTGTGATGCGTATGTCTCCCAACTTGATCTGCTGTCATGGAAAGGGGAATTTACAGAATCAAACATCCAGCTACATTTTCAGTTATTTCTTGGCAACACTAATCCCCTGTACCCAGGACTGTTGCTGCCACTGATTTAATCTGTCATATGACTTGCTCAAAAAAGTACTTGCAGAACTTGCTTTATGTAAGATCTCATTTCCAAGACTTTCCTGGAAGTCAGAAAATGGAACTCCAACTGTTCATGATAGAAACATTGTTAGCCAATCTAACCAGTTTTTGCTAGTCTGCGCAATTTGGACTCTTCATTTGAACACCAGCATGTGCAGAGATTAATCATCACAATAGATCAAATAAATAGAAGGTTAACACCTTTAGTTGCTTTTACTTCTGAAAGGCAAGTTTAGGAAAGGAAATATTTCTAAACAAGATTCCTGCTGGTGCTATTTGATGATAAGATTCTAGAGTGCCTGAACCTTTGTTCATGCCTGCTCCATTTTTCCATTAGTCCTGGCAAAAAACCACACATACCAGCATAAACCTTTCAAGTATTTCAAGGAGACCTTTGGCACATAAAAGTATCTCCCATGCATATGCAGTACACCTACTAATTGCATCACTACCACTGAAAGTTGTGCCATTATTAGTCAGTTGGAGAACTACTCCCAGGAATCTTAGAGCTGTTAGGAAAGCTTTTAATGATCTCATCTGACAATATGTAAACTAAGCATTAACGCCCCAGGAAAGACTCTTTAGCAGGAACATGTTGTTTTATGTGCTACTATTCTACTCTAATAATTTCACTTCTACACTTCCATGATTTTGCTGTTTGCTTCTTTAAAGTAACAATTCCATGGAATTACAAACTGGCAACTTCGGTGCCTAGCAGCTTCTTTTCATTTGTCCCTTTTACTAGTTCAAAACAGGGATGTGAACACCTGGAAGTTTCTCTTTAAAAACAGACAGACAAACATGATGGTTATTACAACATGAGAGCAGGTTGCTACAGTAGTGCTAATAAAAATCATCTGCTGGACTGTTTACACTGCTTTGCATAAACTCCTTCAAGTGCCCTGAGCTAAACAGTAGCTTTGTTGCTCTGAAGGTTTCTGCTTAGATGGTTTAGCAAGGTCTTGCCCTTTGCTGCAAGCTACAGGATTGCACTTTCAAGATTTTTCACTTCATTTAAGTGTTTATAATGAGGAATTTCTGGAAATTTCAGTGACAGCTGACTGCCAAGCCCTGACAATGAGCTCTTATGCTTTGACTATTGCCTGAACAGAACTGTGGCTTAACAAAGAAAGTTGAGTTTTTTTAACAATTCTTTCTCATCCAGTAAATACTGAGTTTCAAATATCCAGGACAACTTCTTAAGATATTCTTGGCATCTTAATGGAAAATTTCCCTTCTATATAGCTAAAAAGGAGTAATTTAATACTTTGAGTATCTCAAAAGTGAAGCTACATCACTAAAATGGTTTGAACTTACAAAGCACAGTGTTCTCTCATTTACTGTTTTTCTAGCTAGTACTTTGCATTTAATGTGCATTGGTTCACTCCTGTTGCCAATACGAGAAGGCACCGTGGACTGAAAAACATCACCACTTAGTGCATCTAGAAGACACACATTCAGAAGCTGAACTTTCTGATGAAAAAAAAAGACATAAAATTATTCCGAAACATCAGTACTCCTTTGAGTCAATATCTTCCATTTTTCCTGCCAAACTTTCATTGTCAGAGAGAGTGCATGTGGGAGATATTAACTATTAAAACTCTGTTTACAGGGAAAATGAAAAGCAAAATTTTGACAACTTCAGAAAAATAGTGACAAACACTAGCAATGTTTTACTTATGTAAAGCAGAGATAAAAGGAAGCAAATTACTCTTCTGCCTCTCATGAAGCTGAAAAATTGTGGAAAAAATTGATTAAAAAGTTACTACCTCAGCAAGTAGTACAGGCAGTTCTCTTCCTGGATGCATAGGCAGTGTCTTGTTCAAACCAGAGAAGGGAGGAATAATAGGCAAAGCTGCCCATTATTATTTAAACTACTTGAGATAGGCCAAAACCACTGAGCAGCCAGTATCAGCAGACAATCATTTGACTCTGGGATTGAGCAAACTCATCTTCTGACACTGAAGGTCAGTTAATGCCCAAGGAAGGATTTACCAATGAGATTAACCCCACCACTAAATTCTGTGTGGGAATGGACCTCCCAAACCTGAAGCGGTTTTATTATAAAGTGAATGTTCACGAGTTCTTGAAATCTGGTAAGAGGTCTAATCTGGTTCTCCAGCTCCAAAAAATACTCCATAATCTCTCAGATCTAAGGGTGGGCTCTAGAAGATAGGGCTGAAAGGTACAATCAGTCTTCTTCCTCAGGTGGTATCACTAGAAACTATTTAAAAGGTTTGATATATCATGAAGATAAACTGCCTCTTCTTTGAATTAGAATGTCAAACTCCATTCTCAAACTATGAATTAAAATAGGTTGCATAGCTTAGATCTTTTCTATACTTGTCTTAAGATTTCTAAAAAATGCTTAAATTTTACCTGTGTAAACAGTTATCTTTCAGGTTTAACAAAACTATTTTAAAGAGCACATGCTTATTACTTTTTGTATATAACATAGTTCATTTATAGTTCAAGAATTATGATTTTAGAGGAGGACTTATTAAAAAATACCTTAAAATATATTTTCAAAATCTGTAACAAAATAATGACTCATCAATCTTTAATATTAAGTTCTTGCCAAAGCAGCTACAAGTCATCAATCAAAATACCAGTATTTATCTGTAGAAATAACAGAGTTTTAGAATACAAAGCAATATAAGGACCCATGAAAGTATAAATATTATTTAGTAGTATAATTTTAATAAAAATTTTTAAAAATAAATTTAGTCACTCATTTCTAGGATTTGCTCAGTCTCCACACAATCATATCTGAACTGAGCTGAGCTTCTGCTATTTTCAAAGCAATTTTCTGGTAGAGGGCACCATTCATAGTTTGATTCATACTTAGCACACTCTCTTCCCGCTCATTCTGAAGCTTCTTCCTGAACTGCTGGACTCCTTCCTCAGTGTCCAGTAAAGAAGCCAGAGGATCATTATCCATTTTCTTGCCAGCCTCATTCCCCCATGTCAAACTGTTTTCAGCTTTACTTTCTTTTGAGAAGAAAGAACTCTTCAAGGTGAGCATTTCTTTTTCCAAAGCCAGTGCTAACTGTTCATTAAGTACACTTTTTCTTCCAGATCTCAGGAGTTTTACACGGCAGCTTGGCGGGAGAACTCTAGTAAGGCTATGAAGGCACTGGAACACGACAGTCAGATTTCTGTAAAAGAAGATTATTATTATTATTATTATTATTATTATTATTATTATTATTATTATTATTATTATTATTATTACAACCTTATATCTTTAAAATTCCATAGTGGAAAATAAAACAAAGGTACTTGAAAACAAAATAGAAACACTTATGTTGATTATAGTTTTAAGTATTGTGTGTACTTTACATACAAGAACAAGCATTTAGAGGCAGAAAAAAAAAATCACTTATTCATTGATTGTCACTATCAATAGGTATGTACATGCCTGTTAGGTGGCCTACAGCTTGTCTTTCTTAAACAGAGGGTGCACTTAAAATCAGACATTCAAAATTATTAAGAAAGCCAAATAAAAGTGTTGGTAATCATCAAGAAACCTACTCTCCTGGATAGCAGTGTAGCATATACAACACAGGGACATATTCCTTGTTCTTAGAGAAATGCAGAGTTTGTTAAAGTCATATTCCCAGTGTTTGCCCTGATAAACAAAGAAAACCTCAACTCAAAAAACCCAAAAGCACCCTGAAACAGTGAGTTTTCTCACACAGATCAGAAAGACATCTTTCCTTGAAGTACTTCTAGCTCAATTTAGTTATCTTAACATTCCACTACTTGTAATGTACAGTTTATTTGGTTTCTGAAAGGCTGTGAAAAAAAGAATAGTCTGTAGCTTCCACCTGTCACAGAAATATCCTAGCTGGATAAAAGGTCAATCCAAAGACAGGAAAAAAAGATGCAGAAAGTAGAATCATAGTTACACCATAAACATGCAGCTCACTATTAATGCAAAACAGGATCAAAAGTGAATAGCACTAAGTAAATTAACTTTTCAAAAGGAACAAAGAGTCTTGAGACTTAAAATTTTACTGATTGATCTCTTAAACATTTCAGCCTGTCCTCTTACATAAAGGAGATCAACTCCTAATTTGAGTAAAAGACTGAACCTCACTATAAATACAGACTCCTGAAAGTTCTACCTTTTTTTTATTTTTCAGCTTGAACTCTTCAGGACAGCAACATTTGTCAATATTCAAGAAGTACTTTTTACATTATAAGCCTTATCCCACTAAATCATAAATTATGGCAGTACTACTAACTTGCTTAGCCTGGTTCAGGAAATTTTAAAAACATTCCTTCAAGAATCTACATAAGAAATGAAATCACTGAGACTCTTCCGATTATTTCCTTTCCATAATCATGGCAGATAGGAAATAAATATAGCAGAAACATGTACAAAATGAGACTAAATTTATGTTGCAGTACTAAAATAAAAAATTAGCAATAAATTTAAACTTAGTATAATTTGGTGTTTGTGGTTTGGTTGGGTTTTTTGTTTTAATATGCCCTTAAGGATTTTTCTTTTAATCAACACACACTGAAGAAAAAATTATACATTATACTAAGAATAAAGTAAAAAAAAAATAAAATAAAATTAGGATGCAGCAAAATGAAGAGAAGAAACAGTACCAAGTAGATACTACTGGAGACTAGACTTATTTGTAATTCTAACTAATTCTAATTGATGTTCTAACCTAGACAAAATTAAACAATACAGTTCAGGTTCTGTTGTAGTTCTGATCTGAAAATAATTCTCTTATTGCTGATTGTTATCATATCATCATATTGGAAGCCTATTGGTTATGATTTTGGCTGCTGTTTATGGTATCATTAGGAAACAGTGTAAAGACTAAAAAAGCATTGTATGGAATGATGAATATATGCTATGCTTCAAGTGAATTTACCTGCAAAATATTGTTAGAACCCCTTCAAATGGATTTTTCAGGCTCCAGTTAAAAACTGTACCATACACATTTCCTGCTTTATGACAGAATATGTTGTCATGGCATTCCTTAAACGGTGTGCATTCCATTTCTCCCAGCAACCATGAATTTACTGGAGTCAATGTGCAGTCAGAAGACATAATCTGAAAGGAGAATCTGACAGCTGTTGCAAGTACAGCAAGTATATCTTCCATGGCACCTGCAAGAAAATATAATAAAAAGATATTTGACCCAAATATTTTGATCATGCTGCATGCATTAAATGTGTTTAGATTTTTGGCTCATACTTCTAGTTTTCATTAAGCATTTGCACCTGCATTCGGGCATTCTTTGGGAATTTTCTTCTCACCTAAATTCTTATACCTACTTCTGTCAAGCAAAAGATTGATTAATGGAGCACCATCAATATAATGAAAGCTCTTAAGATAAACATCACCTTGCCAAAAGAAGGCTATTAACAGCCTCCTGAGATAGTAAGATGACAATTCAGCTTTAGCAATGATACAGCATTAAAGGAAGAAAAATTAAAATTCATTGCAAACAATCAAAAGGATATTTCTTTTTGTGAGCGAAAGCTCAGTTAAAAAATCAATTCAATCAGGAACATAAAAAGAAAGGAAAATAAATGACCATAAAAGACATGTAGATGAGGAAAAGCTTCAATTACTTGGGTATTATTTAAGAGGTAATACTGTGGCAGAAAAAACCCCATATATATATATATATCAGCATTCTGTACTCAGACACCTTCAAAATTATCCTTTCCAGATACCCTTCAGCATCAATGCTAGCACAAAACCCTACAGCAACTCCATTTTGAAAAATGTTCCATCTCGTATTTCACCCAGCTTCTAATTCCCAAAAGGCCTATGCAGTTCCTGTTCAAAGAGACAGATGTGATCACACGTTGAAAACTTAGTTTGGCATCACCTAGAATAACCAGAAGAATCAAATACATAAATATTTATGAATCCAAAGTATATAAATCTATTTACCTGTACAGTAACTATTATCCCTCAACATCTTTACTGAAAATCTTCCATTTGAAATATCTTCCATACTTAACAAAAGTTTCCCACAGAGTACAGTGACCTGTTTGCTCTCCTGTAAACCGTCACTCCTGTGTTTTCGCCTCCTCGCGTGTAGAAGAACTGCACAGCAGACACGATGAAACGCCAGTAAAGGTGAAAGGCTGGTAACAGCAATGACTGTCTTTGCTCCATCCAGATGAACCCCTGAAGGTCTCTTAGGAAACTCTTTTTTCAGATCATCCTTGCTACGTAAGTCAAATTTAATCTTTTTTGGAGGCGGCTCAATTTGACATGAGGAGACAGCCAATGCTGAGAAGGCCTTGTTCAGCTTAATGATTTTACTTTGACACTTGATAATTGGAGAAATTGAAGAGGAGTCTTGATCCATCACTAAAGATAAGCTGACATCATTCAGTGACCTGTGAAAATCCAAACAATACGACTGCACTCCCAGTTCATATTTTTGCTACCTGACGCATAACCATAACTCTGCAGATATGTACAGACATTTAAGACTACCACAAATTCCAATACCATTCCAGGTTAAGTCACAGAGTGGGCAAAGAGTATAAGTCCTTCACATGACTATTTCATCTAAGCTTAGTATAAAGATTTTCAAAACGTGGACTGAATTTTCAAATAGCTTTTAGGAGTTCGATGCCTCTCTTCAACTGAAAGAATTTGGATGTTTAATTCAGCCAGAAAAGGTTGAAAAAAATGTAGATACTCTACCACATTCGTAAATTATTTTTAAAGATTTAACTTAAGTTTTAACAAAAAATTGCAGAAAGTATCAATTCTGAGCTTTTGAGGACTAAAAGCCCTTCTGATGATCTATATTTTTACAGATATTAAAATAAAATTGAATGTAGAGTAAAATAAAAGGTTTAAGATACCATTACCTTAAACATGCAGCAATTTCCTGAAATGTAAGAAGTACTTTATTTATTCAACACAGGGTTGTTTCAGTGAAATCCTAATATTACTATTTCAGATCCTCTCTCAATGAATACATTATTCTGTCAATCAACTCAATCTCAAGATGTCACTGAGAAAGTCTTTGAAAGTCTTACAAATCTCCAATTTTCTTTACAGAGAGGTATCACCACCTCATAACACAATCTAAGATATCACTGCAATCTTACATTACTAGGAAGAACAAAAATAATCTATAAAGAATTTCAGTGTTAGGGATGGAGAGAAAGCAAGCCCTTTTCCCCAAAAACACAGGTTGTTGTATTACAGTACTGATTTAGAGTCCAGAAGACCCAGGTTCTGCTGCTAGCCTGCCAGGTAACTTTTGACAAATGACTTCTCCACAGATCTTTTCTCAACTGTAAAAATAGGGGAGAGGGCTAGATATTGCTGCTGGATTTTAAAATCTGAGGATCTTTGAAGCTATGCAAGAATGAATCATTTAATTTTCAAAACCAAAGTCATCACCATCAGTTCTAAAAGAACAAACACTGGAAAGGCAAAAACAATCTCTTGCCTCAGTGGCTCTTAACAGGGGCTGTCAAGAGGATGAGATCAACTTTCTTGTAAAGTTACAGCAATCTGGCAGTTGAGAAAGAAGACACCCACAGCTCCAGCAGAATGGTCAGAGGGTGTAACAGGTCAGCTCCCTCACAACCACTTGAATGATTTTCAGTGGCATCAGTAGTCTTTGAGCTCACCCTAACACAGTCTCAGCTACACTGCTTGTGGAAACATGGGTCAAAAGGCACGTTCTGACTCCACCAAAGTTTACATTACACAATGAACATCATAAATTTATGTTTCATGTATTTTCAACCTGTGTTGCAAATGAGTTCCTTCTCTGTAAGGGGGAAATGACATAGGTAGTATTTACAACTGAACTGAGTAATTAAAATAAACAGAATAAACAAATAATTGTAAAGATGACAACAAATTATTTGGAAGGTTTAAGTATTGTATGGTTGATCATTCTATTGTTCTACATAATTTATACAATACATAAGCTTTGCAAATACTTTGACTGGATACTTGACTAGAATAGTCAAAACCTAAGTACTTATTAAGTTGATGAGAGAACTTAGTATGTTTTCTTTTATGCTTCTTCAAGTAAATCACTCTTTAGAAATGGCAAGCAATTAACAGTAAAACATCAGGAACTGTATACTTAAAACAGAGCCTTATTTACAACATATACTGATGTCAGCATAGCTATGTCAGCATGGACTGTAAAGAACCATAATTTTTGTCAAAAAAAGAGAAAACTTCTGTGAAAAGTCTCTAGTAATTATACTTACACAACTGATTTTTGGCTATACAATGTATTTTTTTGCACAGTGCTAGAGAGAGACAAGCAGCAGCAAAAATACTGACAAAGACACACAAAAAACCACTTTAAATACATATGTTCAAAATGCAAAAAATCAAAGCTTAAAAATCCACTCTCACTACTGCAGAGCTTAACTTGCACATTCGCTTTCTATAAAACTACCAATGAAATTATTAGATTAATTTATATACTTACCAGTGAAAGGATTCAGTTAGTTTTACTCCAACTACAAAGCTGTCACCCACAACACGCTGCCACAATTTCTCTGTGAAGTGCTCTGGGATTTTAGACGCCAGTGGTGTCTCTTCACTAAGAGAATGAGGAGGATTTTCTACATCATCCCAGAGAGAGACAAGACCTTCCTTACAGAAAAACGGGTTTTTTAGGCAAATTAAGTAGAGATACTGGTTCTTTTTATACTGCATTATTTCGTGGTTTACCACAAATGATTGTTGGAAGAGCTTTTTAGATACACAGAATGAAATATATAAACTAGTTTATTCTCAACAACAGGTTCAAAAGATAGAACTGCATTTTCTTAAAACACATGATATGTAAAGTAAAACTTGTTCTCTCCTTGTGAACATCACATGTCTAAATCTTGACCTGTCACACAATTAATTGCCCAAAGGAGATTTAAGGTGCTAGAATTTATTCTATATTAGTATATTTATTTGCTCAACACTTTGTTGTCCAAAGCTGGCTAACTTGAAAGGGACCACAACAGTAACTAAAAGGCAGATCAACTCCATTTCAATTAAACTAGGAGGCTTTTCTGGAGCAACATATTAAGATAACATTTTCCCAACCTCCATCACCTTCTCAGCCCACAGTTCACTCTGCCCCCATTATAAAATCGATTTTTCTCACACAAATCTATGACAGCTCACTTTTTGTAACATGTTAGATCACAGACAGATATTCAGTCTCTAGGCAACTGTGCCAATTAGGACTGTACACTCCCCTGCTGTTTGTCACTAACTCTGTTAGAGGTTACTCCTCCATACAACTCAGTTGTCAGGAGGTATTCTGCACAGCAATTTCAAGGAAAGACAAAAGACAACTAAATTCACTCTTAAGTGCATACATTGGCAAGTTAAGATAATGAACCAAACTTAAAAGGCAGATTAATGAGTTTTGATAGTGGCAACCCCTACTGATGAAAGTAATAAGAGGTTGAGGGCAGCACCCTCTACAAATGGCTCAGCAGAATTCAGAAGTGATCTGTACCATCTTCTGCATTTTACCTCTTCTGCTTTTGGTAGAATATGGGTTCTTTCTTCAACAAGATCTATCAGTGCTCTGCAAGATTCAAGAATAACCCTCTTTTGGAGTTCTAAATGCTGCTGTAGCTCTCGAACAGAGGTGAAACCTGCCTGTAAAAGATAAAAATCATCATTAGACTTATGCTTATGTCTCCTGCAAAAAAAGAAAGGTTATTGCAGATATCAAAATATCTTTTCAGCTTTCCACTCTTATACAAGTATCACAAGCCAAGATCCTGGCATTCCTCAAGTAATGTTTCTAAAGAATGTTCATGTCAGGCTACTCAGTTGCAAAGTATCAATCTCAGAATCTTGGTCTCTCAATATTAAATCTAGAGTTTAAGATAAATATGAAGGTAAACTATCAAATTATGTAGATATTCAGATCTTTCATTATTAATTCTGCTTCATGTTTTCACTGATAGCAGTTTCATTTTCTTATCAAGATTAGCATTGATTATTGGTCAAGTAAATAAATTGAAGAGCTGGGAGATTTACAAACAGACATACATTGCTGGCTGTGTCTCAGTTAAAAAAAAACCCAAACAACAAAAACCCAAAACAACAACAACAAAAATATCAAAAAAAACCAAATTAAAAAGCATGCCAGCACCAGCTTCTCGGGTTTTAAGAAAGCTCCTCAAAAGCTATGATCTGGAAAGCAAGATCCTAAGAAGTCCAATGCTGCCAAGGAGTGAACAAACTTACCACTGGAATGCAAAACCAAACTTCCCTCTTCCCCATCCCCTCAGAAAATCCCCAAACCCCCCCAGGCAGGATCACACATAACACCAATAGAAGCCTGAATAAAAAAAACAATTCATGGAAGCAAAGTGATGTCTCCTGCTCAAGCTGCAATGGCAAAGGGCATTTAGAACAAGTAGCACTCAACATGAGAAGTTCTGTAAAAAATTTATCTATCACACTATGAATCCAAGTACAAGATTCCAAGAAATATTCCAGTGCCAGAAGACAGAAATGAAGAGTTAAGAACAAAGATGAATCTACAATACCTTCCTAACTGAGGTCATCAGAATACTAAATCATCATTTACTCCCATTGGAGTCAACTCCTGAATAAACAACTGAGTAACAGAAAGCAAATGGGGAAGCACAGACTGGGAATCAGTCAAAATGGCCAAAAATTCACTGCTGTGTGCTTGCTGACCAAGCTGACTTTTGGAAGCCCTTTTTCCTCATAAAGTAACACAAGAAAGAGACCTAGAATTTATCACATGGCAAACTCAAGACTGAGGAGTGCCCATCAACTCTCTCTGGCACAAGGGACAGGCACATCCTTTCTGCTATGTGCCAAGATGTACTGCACAACAAGCACAAGAAGTTCCAAGCTTTGCACTGTGAAACTAAGAAAATAAAACTAGATCACCTCAGAACAGAAAATAAACATGAACATAAAAACAAGGCAGACCAGAGCCAAACGCAACAGAGCTGTGAGTAAATCCAGCATTATAACCCTTACAAAACTGTAAAGTATTTGGAGAGGACAACAGACCAGTGGACATAAAGATACTTCTGACTTGTGGTATTTCTGCCAAAACAACCAACTAAAACCATGAGAAACCCTGTAACCTCAGCTGTTGAAATGTATCTGCAGTGCTCTGCCAAAGGATGTCTTCTTCAGAAGATACTAAAACACATGTTAAAGAAAAATAAATATTAATAGAAGAAAAGGCTGGATTCAGGTCCAAAAGACTGTATACAAGATAAATATAGAACAGTTCAAAAATGCACAAACTGATCTATTTTTCAATTTCACTACCTCCAAAACACAACTTATATATGGCTGTGTATAACATAAATGCAACCTACTTATATAGTGGACCATAATTCAGTCCTGCCAAAATTTTCACACGGCTAGAAAACAGTTTTGCAGACATGAAACAAGGGTAAAGCAACAGAGGATGAAAAAGGGCTGCATCTGCTTCATTTTGCTCTAAAAGGTAGGATTCCACAGAGACTGTCAAAACACGATTTGATTGGCAATTTCTAGAATACATGATTTTTGATGACAAATATCAGGGGGATCCACTCCGAGACCAAATAACCTTTGGAAATTCCCAAGCTAACCAGAACCCAGGCTTCAAACCAGAACCCTACTGCTTAAAAAAAAATCATCCTTGAAATTCAATTATACATCAGATTATAAAAACCAGCAAGAATACTTCATTGTTCAGCAAATACAATACAGAACAATGGAGATGTCAACAGCAAAACAACAGTAAGGTTAAAAAGAAATATCTGTACCTACTTCCAAGTTCATCAGCTTGACAATTTCAAAGATTTACAGCATTGAAACACAGAAAGATTTCCAACTTGCTTACAGTATTTGTGCTAGCATGTGGCTTTGAAAATCAGAGATTAAAAAGATCTAAAAATACTGAAATAAATGAGGTCTTATGAAGGATTCTGTGTCTGTAAGAACAACTTTATCAGCATGTGATAAATGAAATCTCCAGCCAGTGGTTTGTTTCCAGTAGAACCAGTAGAAAGTACAAACCAGATTATTCATTTGATCCTAACACAGATGCAAAAAAGCAAAAAAGCATTTTGACCACTGTTCTCAGAACAACAGCTTTTATCTTTTGGAAGAAGCATAACATCTCTTTAGACATCTTGTTTGTTATTAGAGCTAGAAAATTTGTTTCTTTTTCAATCTTTTCCTAATATGCCCTCCCTTCATTTATTTATTAACTGGCAAACTATTGCTAGTTAATTTGCTTCATTTTTAAAGGCTGGAAATAAAACTGACACAATACTCCACTTAGTTTTCACTAATTCTCAAATTATGGGAATAAATACCTTGTATCTTGTCGTTAAAGCACTTTTAGCAAACTAACAATAGCCTTATATCTCAATCTGAGATCTGACTCAATATGAGCTTTTTTTTTAAATAATCTTCCTATTTTGCCAACTAGTATGCATTTGGTATAGGCCAACACACACAGTGCAAAAACACTTCTTGGTGCACATACTGGGTATTTACTAACAGGATGAAAGAGAGAAAGGCAGGTAGAAAGTTAAACAGAAAGGCAGTCATATATTCCCATGGATTGCTTGGGCTCTAGCAAGTTTCCCCCAGCTTGTTTTATAAATGATGCTAATTAAAAGAAGGATACACTTTAGCTTCACCTACTGTACTTTGTAAAATTACCCTTATAAAACCACTAGGAACAGGAAGAGAAACATCAGCAGATAGTGAAACAACAGTAACCAACTTGTGCAAAAGCACTGGGAACCTGGCACTACACAATCTGAAAGTTATGGCATGTGGAACAAAAGAAGTAAACATTCTAATTTTATTAAATCGGATTTAAACATCTATGAGTAAAATGACTGTTAAGAAGCTTTGATAAGATAGCTTCAGCATTAGCTCAAACTTTTAATTCAAATTAAACTAGACCTTTACAATTACCCCAATTGTATTTATAACAACTGAGAGAACCGAAACAAAGACAACCACTGATTTAAGAATAGATACTAAGTATGTTGTCTTTTTTCCTGAACCACTTCTTCAATAAAAACAGCATAATTAACCTCACCCTTTAGAAAATGTAATGATACAGAAAAATAATTTATAGAAAATATGAAGGCAGAACAGCTGAGTACAAACCTGCAATCTTGTTTCAAGAGCTTGGATAGTAAGCAAACCATTCTCTTGCAATCCTTCCGTGGCAGGAACATCATGTTTATAATTAATACCACTCTGAAAGAAAACCAAAACAAAACCAAAATCCTGAATGAATTAAAAAGCTGGAAGTAAGGTACAGGCTATTACACAGCATTATAAAATTCTGTGGGAAAATGCAGAAAACCAGCAGAACCACATGATGCCTTTTAAAAGAAAAATCTTATCTTCTGAATGCAGTTAGATTTTGATAAAATATAATGGAAAGACCCAATTATGGGAAGCTAATTAACAAGCACTATGGCCTTAATTAAAAGCCCTTAGCCAACATTGTAGCAGAACTGTTACATATGTGAAGCATTTTCAACTGCATAAATTTCCGAAAAGAATGTTGATACTATCAAGGAAGTAGATAATCTCTTCAGATAATTTATGATTACAGCAGAAAATATTGTATTCAAACTTCAGGGCATTTCACAGCACACATCCAATTTCACTTTGCACCAATACTTCAATGATTTGTTGAGGTTTTCTTAAATTAGCAAGCAAGGACTGAGTAGCTGAGAAAAGGCAAGCTCAACTTACTGCAAAGTCAACCCCTCCAAGGTCTGTTATTTTGAATGTATTTAACACGTCTGTATTGGAGTCATCCTTAAAAAGGAGTAACAGTTGCTCACTTCCAGAGCCAATAAAATCATCCACCAGAACACACTTCACTTTCTGGCATCTGGAAGCCACCTACAGTAGAAAAGGTTTTAAAATAGATTTACTTGAGATCTCATTTGCAGAAGCTTGCTTTTTATAGAGAGGCAGCTTATTCAGCTGTGTGGAATACAGTAGTTTTGAATTTTAAGCTCTCACTCGCACCCCATCATTTAAAGCCTATGTAACTCTGGGAAAAATTAGCTATTTCTCTTTAAAGATCACTTTCCAGAACACAGGTTGCAGAGATGACAACTTTTCAGTGTACTCAAACGGCTGCATTTTTTTAGAACAGTAATACTTGCAGATCAGTTAAAGGCATTATAACTTTGACAATGAGAAATATTTTTGCTTTGTTACACACTTAAATATGCTTGAAATGTAAAGTCAAATTTGTACAATAATGCTGACAACTAAGTAGGACAAATTTTTATTTCCTGAGTTATGTAAGTATTCTTGTCAGGTTATTACAAAACCCTAGCACTTAACTTTGTCTCTCCGAACTTTAAGAAACAATAGCAAGGCCTCTTCTTGTTACGAAACAACACTTTTTGTTACTAGGAAACGAAACTCAAAAAGCTTTTCAATTCCAATGAGTAGTTTATGCCTTGCAACAATATCAGTTTAACACAAATTATGTAGGCACACTCATAACTGTCTTACAACTTCAAGTTCTCACACTACTGCAGTTTGCAATTAGCAGAAGCAGCTTAGGCTCAGATTCATAAGTGTATTTTTAAGAGACAGAATCCCAGCTTCATTTTCAGATATACAAGCAAGCAACGAAAGCAAAACAATCTCATACTTTAGACTGGTTATTTTAACATCAGAAACAATAACAAACAAGAACTCTAACAAACTTAAATGAGCAGTTTTTCAGCTGCAGGAACTTCAAATAAGACAACATAAACAAAAAAGATAGTGGTAAAATGGAGCTGTTTAAAGCCCCCAGTACCTGTAAGCTGTCTCTCCTCTGTACAACACAGCTATTCCCAGAGGCAAAAGACACAATAAATAGCAAATCATTGCTACTGGTTACAGCTGTTTTTACCGAACATGGTTTCTCAAAAGGAAGCTCACAAACACCTTTAGGGAGACCATTTTGGAACCAAATAAGCTGGTTCTTGTGGGTTATAGCAACAAGTGATATTCGGAGCTGCTTTTTCAATCTCTCACTCTTGCAGACGTAGACAGAAGATACCACTCTGCTGTAAGCATGGGGCATGAAGCACGTGCCAGTCAGCATTTTCTGTGTTTGAATTGCGTATCCAAAGAATTCGCTACCCCAGATGGCTCTGTCTGAAATGGAAAACTCATCTGCATCTTCACTCTCTGGCAGGCAAGCAGTTCTTATCCCTAAGACAACAGTGCCTTCACCTACAATTTCACCTGTCCATACAACTGAAGAAAGCTGAAGAGGAGCACTTTGAACCGTGCAGGTGTTGGAAGAGATGTAGAACAGCTTGTTGGCGTGTCTCCACAGCACTGACGGGCCAGCAAACAACCTGATGTCTTCTTTTAGCTCATAATCCAATTTAAAATGGAAGGACTGCTCAAATTGATTTGAACTGTGAAGCAACAGTAAAATGTATTTGACATTATTCCGTTTTTTCTTTTTCATCAAAATGCAGGGAAGAATAATCCCTGTTCTGGAATCTGTTGTGCAGTTACAACAAATCATTTCAATTTTTGAGTGACTAGCATGCATGCTGAATGCTCCAGAGGACTTCTGAACAAATACCTTAGTGTCTCTGTTGAATGCCATTCTTCTGACACATAGATTCATTGTTTTATCAGCTGCTCCCTCCACATGTTTTGGTTTTGACAGCTGAAATACAAGGACTTCACCATTGTAGGACAAGAGTTGTTCTTGCTCACCCAGAAGCATCTTGATTTGTCTTTATGTATATTCCTCTACAAAAAAAAAATATGCATCCCCAAGGATTATTTCTTTGTGAGAATTTGAATCTATCTGGATATTTTTCTCCTACAAAAGCAAACAAGAAAAAAAGGATAAATTGTTCTGGGACTAGCTGAACTGATCTTTAAGAAAACCTATGCATTGTAAAACAATATCATGAGCGATTGAAGAATGAGGTCAGTATGTAGTTTAATGTCACAGATTAAAAATGAGGTTAAACAACTTTGTACTGAGAGATTTAAGCAACAGAAACGTTTCAGAAATGCTTATTTGCCTAGGTATGAATTCTCTGGTTATCAACAGTTGCACAGAATAATATAAATTGATAGAAACCAAACCAAACTGTACATTTGCAATTTGTGTGATTGAATAGGAGGTGTCAACACCATAAATATACTGAGCAGACTGGAAAGCAGTGGTGCTTGAATTTCCAAATTTAAGAGCCTTGTCTCAGGTATAGTGCTTGTTAA